GAGAAGACAAAAGGTTTTTAGCGAAATGAAAACACGAAAACGCCACCGGCTTCAAGTGCACGTCCATTCCTACCACAGCCATGGCCTACTATGAAGAGAACGCCGTTTCCATCACATCAAAAATCTTAATTGACAGACCGGGGTCACTGCAAAGACAGAGGTACTTCGGCATGATCTGTCGTCTGCTTAGATCTACTGACATGATGGAAAGCACTTAAAACCAGTTTTCAGTGTTTGATTATATATTTATCATCGGCAAAACCAAGGTCTAAACAAGAACAAGCTATGTGCGTCTGTATCATCGGCTTTTTTTCTTCAAAAGTAAGTAAATTTATAAGAAACATGTGTTCCAACACTCAATGTTAGATTCATGCCATGTTTCAAACAGAAAATAACAAACTGCATTTGATATTCTGGACCTTGAGACCGCGTTACAAGTGAGTTTCAGAATGCAGAAAGACGACAAACAGAACAGAATCTAATTGCGCCAGATTATCAACAACAAGCAATGTACCTGAAATGACAAAACGAATCAATGAATTGTATGCTGACCAAAAAGATTTATTTTTCAAAATACTTTTTCCTTAACTAGCAAACTAACTCCATCGTGCAGAGTCCTTCTTCAGAAACTAACATCACAGTCAGCTGTTCTAGACCTTACCCTTTACGAAACCCGAAGACCATCAGAGTATTCACAGTAGTCGACCACTGGTCTTATCCTAAGCTACATTAATCGGCTTATATCATGACAACCCATTTCTGTTAAATCTATCTATGCCTGCAACATCCAAGTGGCGTCCTCCGTTCACATTTTATATCTGTGAGATATTTTTAATATTATTTGTCCATCCAGATCTCCCAAGATGTATCTTCCCTTGAGATTTTCTAACCAACAATTTGTATAAATTTCTCACTTTCCTCAAGCGCGACACGTATTACATTGATTGCATTATTAAGCCAATAATAATCAAACACGCCCCGAATTTACTATTCTTCTTGTTATTTCCTCATTATGCTGAATTACAAAACGGAACGCGGATATCATTCAACTGCCTCCATTCATGATGTCATCAGAATCTCATAGTTAGACTAGACTCGGGGTTTCGTTCATTGGTAGTAAATGACGTAATGGGAGGAGCTGTAAATACGAAAAAAGTACGGGTAGCCAATATCCAGCACTTTCAAACTCCGATGATTCACACAATGTTTGCCGACCGGATAATACAAAAAAGAGCATGGGAATGTTAATGACCACGCATACTAGTGTAACAGGCGGTCATTTGCGTTATATAGTAGTCTGAGCGACAAATCAGGTTTAAAAACAAGAACTTTTCTGGGATTTTGCGCCGTGCAGCCTCGTAGAAATAGACAGACGTTTTCGAGGTGCTTACTGCATCTGTCATCAGACGGATAGAGGCAGAAAGCACTTCTAAAACGTCGGTGTATTTCTACATAATTACATGGCGAAAGATCCCAGAAGATATCTTCATACTCGCCGCTGCAAATTTCACGAATCAAGAGTCCATTTTATATTTAAAAATGTATTTCAAGCAATAAACTTTGGAATCGCCTCCAACCACTTTCCACGAATTTTGTCCTTCTCACTTAAAAGTATACAACAGTTTGGCTTTCAAATTAATCCCTAACGCAGGGCTTCTCAACTTGCAGAGATCAATCATCTTTCCTTATCAATTAGTGAGCCGCCGGTATATAAATTAACTGAAACTTCGCGACGCTTATTAAAATTTTGTATAAATTCCTATTAAAATCCGATTCACATGTTACTCAATAATTTACTTTAATACATCTGAAGACAGCTGTTTTCTTTAGACTCGCCGCCGTGAAAACATCAAATCCTGTTTAATACATTCGTTAATATTTAAATTCAGTACTATTATTATTCGCTTAAATTAAATATTTAAATTAGACAGTAACTGTTTTTCGTTATAAAAGTTATACAGTATAATAAAAATGTACACGGGCCGCACAAATTTTTCGTCTGGCCACGGGTTGAGAACCTCTAGTCTAACTATGATAAACACAAAATGCATTTCCGATGCATCACCGAACACGCTCGCTCAAGCGGTGACGGTTCTGTCTTGTATTTGGAAGATGCCCGGTTCGAATTTCGGCAGAGACGCAGTCTATATACCGACTGATGTCGTAAATCTGTCAATTTGTAGGGCAGATACGTTCCAGAAAGTGTGGCTTAAATAAAAAAAAAACAATTTTCCATAAGACGCAGAATTCCCAGATAAACAATTCTTGACATTTATTTATGTAACTATTATGTAAATATTTGTACAGTTATATCTAACATTATTCTAACATTTCAAAAGACTAGCTTGTTAAGTATGTAGATTTATTTCTAGTCAAACACAACTTATTGCATAGTGAAACATCAAACATCAAGGTTCATTTGTTTCACCATGTCAACACAAGGAATAAAAATCAGCTTCATAGACCAATTGCCAACCTCTCATGTTTTCAGAAGAATGCATATTATGCAGGAATCAAAATTTTCAACAGTCTACCATCAAATCTCACAAGTCTTGTAAATAAAAAGGCACAATTTAAACCAGCATTGAAAAGATACTTAATTACACACTCCTTTTACTCTGTCGATGAATTTCTAATGTTTACAAGTAAGTCGTAATGTATCTATTGTATATAATGGGTGGATTTATTTGTAACTTATCTCTACTTCATGTGAACCCTTTGTTTGTATTTTTGTGACATTTATATAATAGTATGACTTGTATTTGTATAACATGTATTGTATTATTATGACTTATTCTACATCCTATTGTCATCTGACTAACTTATGGATCCATGGAATGTAATAAAGATGTATGTATGTATGTACCGAAAGCCATCATCTGACTTATTTACACATGGTACCTACATCAGGAGGTATACTTTTATGTAACTGAACGTACTATTATTTAATCAAATATTAAAGTTACAAAAAACATAGCTGCTGTATTAAAATTGCAAATAATATACTGAACAACATAGGCAGAACTATTAAAAGGGCGTAAATAAAGAACGTATTCAACAACTTTAAACCGCAAACGCTTAAACAGACAAATGACTATCCTCACGTAGTCAAGGAAGTGAAGGGTAGAATGCCAACATTTAAGCCTATATGGCGGAAACAATCAATATTTGTACCATTTTGATGGGGATCTGTATTCTATGTTACGCCTTCTCTCTGTCCCTATACTTTTAGGGAATGGAGAAAACGGCTTGGACAATGTCATTTAGCATGTTCATTCCTTACTCCCGTGGGGGTCCCTACCAGTTTTCATTCACCATTACAGAAAGACAATGTCTCCCAGCACTGTCAACAAGTGTATGAGATTGTCGGAACTGAATGGGATCCCCCAAGCAGGCTAGGTCTACTTCTTCCTCTTGACGTCACTGCATCTGGGGCTGTCCCTTCAGCCATGTACCACGCAATCAATCTTCCACTACACACGCATCTCACTTCAATACGTGTTCCCCTAAGTAACGTAAAAAGAGCTGCGGGCATCACAGCAGATTCCTTTCCATCCAACAAGAACAACAAATGTTTCAAGATGGAAGAACAAGTTTCAACGACTTCTGAAAGAAAACATCGATTTGGGACGTCGTAGATGCTCGAATAGGAGCATGGGGCATATAATCGAACATTTACGGTAGGTTGAAACCCTACACTCCTTTGTCCTCGACCAGAGTCATGCATGTGCAGTAATCTTAGTCAAAATACAGAATGAACACAAATTACCTGAGCGGTCTCAAAACAAGTGTTTAACAAAAACTAGACGTTAAACGAAAGTGAAACGTCGACCACTGGAGAGGAAGAACAGAAAAAAGTATTGTGGCGTGCAGGAAAAGTGACGTAACTCCAACGAAGGATTTTTTTTTTACGGAACTTCCTTCGAAAACCCCATTGGACAGTGGTCACAGATTCTGTGAAATGGAAGTCGAGTATTCAAAACTCTTTCTAGTTACTAAGTCGCCATTTTTCTGCAGTGTCCATAGATGCACTCCTAGTGACCATCGTTAAAGTTACGTAATTTCTCAAGCATGCTACAGAATAAAAGTTTTCCTTCCATCTGTGTGAGTTTCATTTATGAATATCGTTTACATTTTATTTGATAAATACTTTAAACCGTTCAGCTCATTTGTGTTCATCCTATACAATGCTGAACCCACCATTATTCAGTAAATAATATTAACGAAGTTTTCGCAAGGAACTGGAAAGCTTACGGAATATGCCCGAAAGCCACCTTGAAACCATAACCATTACGTCACAAGATTCATGCCCAAGAGTAATGCCATTTCCGCGACAACTAGTCCCGCTAAAGAGCTAACCATCTCAATAACACACAATTTCACGCGTTTTCCGTTCACTGCCATTTTGTTTATGTCTGTTAATGGTTTGGATTTACGCATTATAAATTCATTTATTCGCACCTGATCGTTTTCTAAGTATATCACAAATAAAAAAACTCACACAGCACGTGATAAACTCTCCGAAACACACCATCTTTCTAGGGTTTGAAACGTTTTGGGTGTACTTGCCTAGAAAATGATTGATCGTCCCAGGGACTCAGCAATAAAGACGGCATATTTGCAACATAATCCTTCTTCTCCTTACCCGAAAACAGACGAAAAACTCCGCCACTAGACACATCTGAATGGTCAGATCCCCCCCAACAGAAACAGGCGCCGGTACCCACCAGACATGAAAACGGGTGGGCCCCAGAGCTGGTTTGGACGCAATGGGGAAGAAACAAGCTCCCTGCCCCCGCAAGAACTGAAACCCACACTCGCCTGGCTTAAGCACAATCACTGTACTGACTGAGCTATCTCAACACCTGTCCTATTGCAGAAAATGTCCAGATCCTTCCTAACAAAAGCAGTAAGACCGTGCCATAGCTCAGACGTTAAATCGCCAGTTACTCACCACGGAGGCACGAGTTCGCGCCCAGGGCAGTCCCCGAGGGATTTGCGGTGGACAAAGTAGCGATGGGATAGTTTTCCTCCGAGTCCTTCGGTTTTCCCCCGTCAGTGTCATTCAGCCGCTGTTGCTCTACTTCCATAGAGACAAGTCTCCGTCGTTCCTTCGTCCAGAGGTAGACCCAGCAACCAATACGGCAACTAGACACTCCTGGTAATCCCCCCTTTCATCGTTACACAACGGATGTTCGCGGAGCAGGTAGTACTCAGTGACGTACATTATTCAGCCAAATAGGAAGACGCGTGAATATAAAAAGCCAACAAGCGAAGTGTTTCGCCAGTCAATCTGCAAGGATCGTGTGCGCTGGTCGCGTGTAGATTGCATAGTGCATAGTGTTCACTCGTAATCTCATTTACTCAAGCAATAAAAACTAAGGTGAGTTTACAAGTTATATGTCAGTTTATAACGTGAGAAGGCTAATGTTACAACTATGTCTTAAAATAACAAAACCATATGTGTATGTGTATGTGTATATATATATATATGCGCAAATTTCTGTGTGGTTACATGGCGAATAATGAATGGTAAGGAATGCAAATTACAATCCGTAGTCATTTACACAAAAATAGGCGAAAAATTTATAAAACTACTGTCTTACGTCAAAAATTCTTTTCCCCTTGAAGTTCACCTAAATAATATTTGAAAACACAATGTCTCCATTGTAAAGATCAACTGGTTAATGCTGTTAAAGGAAATAATCGCTGATTATACAGAGAATCAAAGAAACAAATGAACAACCTTTGCAGGCAAAATGTAAAGTCCGCGAATGTTTAAGCGCGTAGTACAGTGCGACTCGAGACGATATTTCAGGGCAAATTTTACGCCACAATCATCCTTTGGCAGAATCCAGCGTAGCATGCCTAAAATTAAATGTTCGCTGGCTAGCTTAACGTACTAAAACATAATGATTAAAGAGAATACGACAGAAAGAAAATAAGTGAATAAAAGGGTAGGAAAAAAAAATTGGTGTGACAGTGTCAAAAGCCTCGATCGTCGTATTTTCAATTGGGGCTGGCAGCTAATAAAAAAGGGTAGGAATGAAAGGATCGTCGCATCCTGTCCTAACGTACTTTAAAACTAGAGCCCCACAATGTATGACTGGATGGTGATTTATTTAACAATGCTGTATCATCTACTATAGAACAATTTCTAATGATGTATTGGAAATTATGTGAAAGGAAGCGATCGTGATCTATTTTTTTACACTGTCATTCCATTAAAGAATTCATATAGCCCTGCGTGTTTCAGCAGAATTCTGTCATCTTCAGGAATGTCTAGTGGTTAACTGTTAAAAGTTTTACATCGGCGGATAAATTATACTATAAAACAAACATCCTAAAAATGTATAACTGAATCACAGAGGTGTTAAACATGGAGATTTCTCATTTCTTATTCCGGAATACTCTCCCCAGATGGACACCGAAGAATTCAGAATGCGAGGAAAGGAAATGGTGGACTACATTTGTGACTACATGGATGGGCTAAGTTCACGAAGAGTCACACCAAATGTCGAGCCCGGGTATCTACAACATCTTCTGCCAACACAAGCACCCCAGCACCCAGAAGACTGGGATACAATTATGGCTGATGTTGACACAAAAATTATGCCTGGGGTAAACAAATTATATTCTTGTTGCTAACACAATATAATCCTTACTTCATACTAGTGACTTCTGAAGAGAAGTTTCAGGATAGTCAATTCTGGAAATTACGTATTAGAAAAGTCTGTCTCCCCACTTATAGTCACTATGAAAGTAATATGTGCTACTGGTGAATTACTGATGCAGGGTTCTCGCTGAAAATATTAATGATTAAACTATGAATCCTCCAAAATAGTTTAACCACATATTAAAGTTTAATAATTAAACAATCAAAAGTGGAAACTCTAATAATTAATGACGATGCACAATGTATCGTATTCCTAATTAAAGGTGATAGTTCATGATCTGTTTCAGGTAACACACTGGCAACATCCCAGGTTTCACGCTTACTTCCCCTCTGGCAACTCCTATCCTTCAATACTCGGAGACATGCTGTCAGATGCTATTGGCTGCATTGGCTTCTCATGGGTAGGTAATTTTTATGTCACAGCTCATCATGTATAAATAAATTATTTATCTCGTTCAAAGACATGGACTACGAACATTCATTATTACATGCTGAAGGCAACAGCTTGTAATTCATCTACTTAAAACTTTATAACAGAATATATTAATCATTGATGCAGTGACATAACAGATATCTTTCTTTGCAGGCTGCCAGCCCAGTATGCACTGAACTGGAGACCATTGTCTTGGATTGGTTTGGTAAGTTTAATTTGATGTATCTATCTTCTATACCACTGATAAAATTAACTGTAACTCATGCACAGAATCACATAATATATCACTCCTTTACTTTAAAACATTTATATTCTTATTTATACTTTCAGGCAAGGCCATTGGACTTCCTGATGAATTCATAGCATCTTCTCCTGGCAGCAAGGGTGGCGGCGTCATACAGGTAAGCAATGTCAATGTTACATATCTTACACAATAAGCTAGGGAGATTTGCAGTAACTTTCCTTAGCCTCCTCAGGCCAAGACAATAACATAAAGTAGGCCATTACACTTCCTCCTATATCATCTCTGCACTAAACCTCCATAAATGATAAAACATCATAAAATAACAGAAAAGAAAGTAACGTATGTGACTGTACCTGTGCAAAATGTCAGACAAGAAGTGGGAAGATCTATGCAGAAACTTATTTGGTTTATTTAAAATTGTTGTCTAAGCTCAGGTTAAATAGCATTGAATAGGATTACTATATTAATAAAATGGAAAAGATACAGAAGGAAGCCATCATGACCTAATTTAAGGTACTATCCCAGCATTTGCCTGAAGGGACTGATAAAAACCTTGAGAATCCTCAGGTTACCTTATCACCAGGTCAAGATTAGATGCTGCAGACACCCCCCTCCCCCACACACAAGAAAAAATTATGGAGTGCTAATCACTCAGCAGTGACACTCAATCTCTGTACAAAAGTACAGATGAGATCAGTTATCTGGGATAGTTTCAGGTCCACAGAACAAAAAATGGTCCTCCGAACACGCTCTGAACCAATGTTGACACATTAGCTAATGAGTCTATATAGTTACGTAGATAACAAACTCTTCTTTGTGTGCAAAGAATCTTGCTGACTCATTCACTTTTTTTACAGTCTTCTGCCAGCGAGTGTATCTTAGTTTCCATGTTGGCTGCTCGAACCCAGGCCATAAAAAACTTAAAGAAAGAAAACCCTGATATAGAAGATAGCGCATTCTTGCCCAGACTTGTGGCATACTGCTCACAAGAGGCCCATTCCTGTGTTGAGAAGGCAGCCATGATCTGTCTCATCAAGCTTCGTATTTTGGAGCCTGATGACAGATGCAGTCTCCGTGGCTCTACACTTCGAGAAGTAAGATACAGTATTATTGTCAAGAAACAGTCACTAGTCCAATGACCCAAATGAGTTGGTACTCCCAGCCTTTTCAACTAAGGATGGAAACATCCAGTTTCTGAAACCTTGCGTTCTTTTCCAAATAACAAATTATGGACACAGTCTACATATCCAGTAATGGTATGTATCTTAAGGTTCACTTCTCCTGTTAACAATACCTCCACTGTTCATAACAACTTATATCATCATTGCTAAGCAAATGCAGCAACTGTTACAGTAGTATATCACCAAAAGGCTTGTATAAACATAATCATGATCTTGATCTTTAATAGGCAATGGAAGATGATGTGGCTCAAGGTCTGGTCCCATTCTTTGTCTCAACAACACTTGGATCCACATCTTGCTGCTCCTTTGATAATCTCACCGAGATTGGACCAGCATGTCGTCGTTTTCCAGCTGTATGGTTGCATGTAGATGGAGCATATGCTGGAAATGCCTTTGTCTGTCCAGAAAACAAACATCTTATGGCAGGAATACAATATGCAGACTCATTCAACACAAACCCCAACAAATGGCTGCTTGTTAACTTTGATTGTTCAACATATTGGGTCCGAGACAGGATAAGACTCACGTCGGCCCTGATTGTGGACCCCCTGTATCTGCAACATGCAAATTCAGATGAAGCCATTGACTACAGGCATTGGGGCGTACCTCTGAGTCGCAGATTCCGAGCCCTCAAACTGTGGTTTGTTATACGGAAATATGGGATTGAGGGACTTCAGTCATACATACGAAATCACTGCCAACTTGCAAAATCCTTTGAAGCCCTTGTCAAGAAAGATTCAAGATTTGAGGTCATCAATGAAGTTAAGGTAAAATCCAAAACTTGTCTTTCAGAATTTCAAATATTTAAATATTTCATTGAATACATATCCAAAACAACATGAATCTTGATGTCATCAATTTGTCTTCCAGATGGGTCTTGTGTGTTTCCGGCTTCGAGGAACAGACCGGCTGAACCAGGATCTCCTGGGATCTATTAACGGTTCTGGCAAACTTCACATGATCCCATCACTGGTTAAGGGAAGATACATCATTCGCTTTTGTGTTGTTGCTGAACATGCAAATGAAGCTGATATTGGTAAGAAAATGCTATATCCCTCTTGCTTATTTTAATGTTGTAAATTAAAAACATTTAAATCTTTGTAAATGACCTTATGCAGTTTCCATTATGTACCACTTCATCCATGTTTTAATATATTTTAATATTAAGCAATTAATTTTTCCCTTTTATATACATTATAATAATAACATCAGATTACATTGGCAAAGTTTTCACTAATACTGGCTAGCAAATTACTTTCCACTTCATAAGACCATTGTACATCTTTGTTCATATAAAAGATTAACAGTACACAGAGAGATCTTAATGCATAATATTGGCTCCTTTGATAGAATGTGAACAAAACTATATCAGATGGTACTTAAATTTGTGGAAAATTGTTCCAAAATAAGGTGCCAGGTAGAGAAGCAAGTAATTTTTCTCCATAAAAACAAGATACTAAACAGTCTCTGACACCCGCATAAATGACAAACTATGAAACAGCAACACTGATAATGAAGAAAACATATATTTTCCCATGAAATCATGTCCTCCTGGAATTCAGATATCAAATTCTGTACATTGTCCTACACAACTGTCACATTAACTGAATCAGTACAAGGATGTTAACCTGTAATCCTGTGTATTCACTAATGTGTATATTCAATTTAGTTCTCTTCACATTTTCTTGATAACACTTCATATATCGTATTACACTGTGCCATTACTTGAAATCTAAAAGTATTATAAATTATGGTCTCTAAAACAGAAGTTCCTACAGTGCTAGATTTCATTACGACTTATTTAATTTTTGATTAATATTGTAAATCATCTAAAAAACTATAGTACTTTGTTATAAATTTAGTAGAGTATACACACTGTGGAAACAAAACTTCCCTTACTAGTTGGACAGTCTGGAATTTATTTTTGGCAAAAATGACCAGATGGTTTCTTCTCAATTTAATTTTCCTTGCCCCAGTCACAACAATTACTACAACACTCTATTATTCACTCCCTACTACTGATACCAAATTAAATTAATTAAATAAAATATCATGCTAACAACCAATTTCAAAACAAACCATGTCAACTAAATCATAAAATAATTCATTTCTTAATTTAGATCATGCTTGGGAGGTAATTCAGGAGCATGCAAATGATCTCCTTGACTCATACATGATTGAGAAAGTTTCCACTATCCCAGTCAAACCCGCAACAGCAGAGATCACACCAAAACCACCAATGCGACGCACAATATCCAGGAGGTTAAGCTTTACAAGGAGCGTCTCGCGCGACCTCTACAGACGTTCTATGTCACGATCCAGCTTGCATGATGGAGCTACACCCATTATTGTACCTGATGATGAGGACAACATTATCCCCGAAAATGACAACATGGAGGAGGATGTATTTCACTCCCTCACTATCAAAGAAGAGAAGGAACTGGTATGAGTGTGAACTGCTCCATCAGTGAGAACTTATTTATATTTCCAGTGTGAATTTAAGCAATTTAAAACCCTTACATTTCTAATATGATAACAGTTTTAAAATTAACTGTTTTTAGTTAAGGTTTAGAAATGTGTGAATTATTAAACAACTGCAAGTGAGGATGTTAGAAGAAACTTTATAATGGGAAAGAAGTAAGAACCTGATCTGAAGCATCATTCCTTTTTTGTTTTGCTAAAAAGACAACTAATTTATCCAAGTTCCTGTTTTGAAACAAAATGTTACAACATTTTAAAGCATTTTAAACCAATGTAAATAATTTAAGAAATGCAGGAGGTCAAACGTTTTTATTGCAGGACTTAAGTACTGCAAAGTGATCAAAGACAGTTACATTTTTATACTATGCATTTCATGAATGAATATTGTAATCACACATTGTGTTTAGTGCTTTTTTTAATGCAAGTCTGTGCTTTATGTTTATTTATGCATTGTCTGAGTGAAAGACTGAGCGTGTATGCAACAAAGTGAAAATACGAAAGAATAATACAGATGTATGACACTTTTTACAAATCAGTATTTATACCATAGTCAACCAAAGCTGAACTGTTGTTTGTGTAACTCTAATTATAAATTATGATATGTATTATAATTAAGTTTACACAATCGTAAAAATATAATATTAATTTGTAATGAAACGTACTGGTGCCTTCTCAATCACCCTTCCAAATATATGCATTGGCTTGTAGGAAATGATTACCCTTTAAGACAAAGTAAAGAAAAGCAAGTGCCCTTGTTCAGCATGAGCAATTGTAAAACCTCACAAGTGAAACTCATGTTCTTCCTCTTTTAAACTCCCACACATTTTGGAATTATACATCAGACTTAGGACAGTGCCAATTGTGGACTCTTGTAAGGACAGTACTGAACTTTCCATGAAAGACAGAGAATTTCTTAAACTGGTGGACATTTTACTATATCTTAGTTTAAAACCCACCACACTTCAGATGCTGACATTGCTTGCAAAATCATGTGAGCAACCTAATCAACATCTGGTTCAGCATTATTCTATACATATTACAATAAAACAACTCTTTTGTATGAATAATCATGTTTAACACCTTGGCCCACAGGCCAATACCCGAGATAAAATCAAACCAAATCAAATCTAAAGTTGTCCCTGCAGCTAAGCACTATCATGAAGATATGTAACAGCATGAAGGTAAAGCTGCACACATTTTTAATAACTTCCATATGATATGGAAACTTCACTGACAGAAAATGTGTCTTCCAACAACGTAAATACAATGGCACCAAAGTCTATGGATCCTTCCAAACACAAATGATGTGAAGTGCTCCATGAAACAAAGCCCTTCTTGAGAAGTTAACAGTCACTCAGCTAGTCAAAATATTCCTTGCATTTTATGGAACCTCAGGGTTCTCTACCTTGTTCACATCAGTCCCTATCCAAAGCAGGATCAATATTTATCACACCCTCCAACCCTATTTCCCTAATATGTAATTTAATGTTATCTACACCTTGGTCTTCCAAATAGCCTCTTTCCTTCACGATTTCCAGAGAAACAGATAGTATCATAAAATATCTTCTTGAGAGAGAATATCTCCATCTGGTCATATGGGCCTTCCAAGATACAAATAACAACATAAAACTAATAACATGTAAATGATGATTGCATGAAGAGATTTGACACTCATGACTTTCATAAATATTAATTTTTTTGCTGTCAGAATAACACTGAAATGTAATTAAACAAGTTTCATAATGATGCAATGAATTATCAAGAAATTTGTCATTTATACAGTCAAAATCACATTTCACGAAGATGCTCTTGGGTGACTTTATACTTAATGTCCTTGTTCCTACTTTCCTCCTGTTCTGTTTTACTGTAAAGAGTGATAAACAGGATGACTAACAGAAATTTCATAAGAATATCATGGACAAATAATTGTGGCATTGTGGTCTTCTGGGTTGTGAAAGCATGTGGTCTTGTAGGTGGCTACAAACATTTCGGTGGAACGTGTAACCTCCGTCCTCATGGTTTAAGCCAGAAAACAAACTGACACCTTCGCCATCATGAAAACCTCAAATGTCAATAACACTGTGGACTGTAGTCTTTTTAACATTAATCATCAGTTGCATTTACCTAGCATCTACATACACTACACAAAGCCTAGAAGAGGTGAGATGTGGACAAAAACTGCAAGTTAAATGACATAAAAGGAATGAAAACATTCCGGATAGGAGTTTGAATACACTGTAGAAATTAACAACTGGAAATCATTGGTGCCCTAGTTAGTTACTGGTCAATACAAGTTATCACCAAACCAGGGCATTTTGGCTAATAATACCACAGAAACATCTTAGATGTTTTAAATTCGTTGTATGGAGGGGGGTGTAATTGGCACCGAAGTCCGAACTCGCTTTCAATTATCCTCATCACAAGCACGTAAACGCGAAATCCTTGCATAAAATTGATCAATCACATATAAGAAAACAAAACCATATTTTTAAACTGCTCTTAGCTTCCTAACTAAACTCCTCACACGAAATAAATAGTATTAAGAAGCCACTAAACGTATTAAATAACTGTTTAACATATAAAACTATATATGGGTTCACTATAAGTTAGGTTAGGTTGTGTAGCACAAGCAATCTTAACAATGATACACACACTATTTGCTCTAAGTACTTTCGGCAGAATATGTAGCAAACTTACCTGTTCTTCACACTTCTACTGATGGAATCGGAATTAATTAGAAAATTAAGTATCACATAGCCTTACTTCAACACTACTTTCCCAAAAAAGGTTGGTAGCCATGGCGCAGCAGGTCACTTATCTTTGTATTAGTTCATGCCCTCAACACAGATGTTAATGTAACGACGGCGGTGTATGAAACAAACGCATCGAGCTGCACTCTGTCCGCATTGGTAATAAACTATAATTGTCTGGCGCTGAGCCTGCGCGAAGAATTCGATCGGTAAGAACGTCTACTACTACGAATACTACTACTGAATTTAAACACTCTCCTTCCCATTCACAACTCACTAATGTTATGCAATTTATTGTCATTCCACGGCAGTTTGTACAACATCAGTACTATAATGTAATACGAAATACTACATTATGCTGTTACTAACTAGAATAGATTTAGGCATTACTTTTGCGATGGTGGAACACGAGTTACAGATTACATGGGCCGTAATAGAAGGTAAGGAAAACAGTAAACATATTAAGATCACAACTTTATGTACCATCTATAATACAAGAGTTTGTGTTCATTTGGGAAATCACACATCAATTCGGCCCAGAAAAATTTCTCGGTATAAATGAGTGTGACTGATGCTTGACAATTGAGAATTTATTAAATAAATGTCATTAAAAAACAAATTACATTATGTCTGAAAAACCTGGTCAAAGAATTAGTACTTTGGTTAGTATACCATTATATTATGAACTGTTGCAGATTCTAGTTTCTGTTTAGGTATCACTTGTTTCTACTTTCTCAACATTGGCCTCCCGAATATTATTGGAAAACTTCTTCAACTTTGCAACAAAGAAACCATCCATATTGTGAGTGTGGGGATAAAATCTTCGGGTTAGCTTCATTGTCGGATGGAACCTGAAATTAAAGATATGATTAAATATAATACATTTAGAAAACATAAATAATTTGTAAATGCTATTACCAAGTTTTATAATTCAGAGCTTCACTCTGCTTTACAAGAGACTCAGACATAGATTCCATAAAAGAATTTAAGCACAAAATGATATCTGTGGACCACAATTTTCTGAAAGTCCATGACAAATATTTTTTCACTGAATTTCTTGAATAAAAGAAGCTGTTGCTGCTACTGCTGCTTTTTTTATTATTATTAACCTACCAATATGTGAAAATCTGTGTATTCTTCTGGTGGAAGAAAGGGAAAACAAGATATCAAGTCTGAAGTAAAAACTTACATATAAGACAATATGCAAACAAGAGGATGGGAAGGACAAAAACCTTATCAAATTTTAATGTTAAAAAATCCATGTTCTCATCAAGTGAACACAATTATATAAGGTGATTCAAAAAGGACTTTACAACTTTGAAAGTGTATAGAAATTTATTCAGAAGCCTTACAGAATCAGTTGAGGTGTCATTTTGTAGCAAAACAAATTAAGTTTTGTCTCACGTGCTGTAGTACCGAAGGATTTCCTCAATAACCGTTTCCCAGGTCGGTGGATTGGTCGAACAGGGTCGATAGCATGGCCACCTTGTTCTACAGATTTGACACCTCTCGATTTTTTCTTATGGGGGTTTCATTAAAGATCGTGTGTATGTTCCACCCTTACCTGCTAATCTAACTGAGCTTAAAGCTCGAATCACCGCCGCAATTCCAGAAGTGACACCGGATATGCTGCATCGTGTTTGGCAAGAAATTGATTTCAGGTGGGATGTCTGCAGTATCACCAATGACAATCACATTGAACCAAAATGACTGTTTGAGGTAAAACTTGATTTGTTTTGCTACAAAATGACACCTCAACCGATTCTGTAAGCCTTCTGAATAAATTTCTATACACTTTCAAAGTTGTAAAGTCCTTTTTGAATCACCCTGTATTTAATGAAATCCAATAAGGATCTTTGTTCAACACTGAAGTGGTCTGCAGACCTAAGAAATTTCAGAACCACTACGTACATACACTGAAACTGAAAATAACAATGCTGGCCCAACTATAACACAATATAAATGTTTGCTTCTTTATGAAGTAACATTAGAATTTCTCATAACAATAAAGCAAATTTATGTTATTAACACTTGCCTGTGGTGTCTGTAATTTGTGAAACCCTCTGTACCAAAATCTAGACCTGTTGGTACTAGTTTAACATCTCTCTTCTTCAAAGCATAATCAATTACCCATTCATTTTCTTCTGGCTGAAAATGTACAAAACATTACATACAGTAATATTACAATGTTATGGATTAAACTACAGGTTCTCACCTTTTTTGCTGGTGTAGCACTAATTCTGATTCAACACAGTAAATGTACCACTAGACAAACCTATATAATAATAATAATAATAATAATAATTTATTTACATTCCATGGATCCATAAGACAGTCAGATGACGATAGGATGTGGAAAAAGTCATAATAAAAATAATAATAATAATAATAATAATACAATACATATTAAAAAGTACAATTCGTACTATTATATAAATTTCACATAATACAAAACAAAGTATTCACCTAGAGAAATGATAAGCTACAAATAGATCTACCCATTACACACAAGAAAAATTTATCACTTATTTGTAAACAACATAAATTCATTGACAGAGTAAAAGGAGTGTGTAATTAAGTATCTTTTTAATGCTACCTTAAATTGCTCCTTCTTATTTACAAGACTTGTGAGATTTGATTGTAGACTATTGAAAATTTTGATTCCTGCATAATATGCACTCTTCTGAAAGCATGAGAGGTTGGCAATTGGTCTATGAAGCTGATTTTTATTCCTTGTGTTGACACTGTGTACAGCATACTGTTTTCCAAGTTAACATTATTTTCTGTACAAGGTGCCCAAAATACTTGCAGTTTCTGAAATTTCCTTCAGTGTCATTTTTAAAAGAGCTGAAAAATGACTGTCTTCTGGGATTTACTGTGTACATTGCTTACTGCCTCCATCACAGGGGCAATGAGTAAGCCATACAGAAAAAATAGGTTAAGATATAGGAGCAGGTCAACTTACTCATCACTGATACTGGAGGCAATAAGCACTTATGAAATGTCGGTCAATTCTACCAGACTGCATGGCGCAATATCCAACAAGGAGTGAAAATAGGCAAAATATACTGATCTGAGTGTGTCAGTGTTGCTGACATGCAACAGAGATCCAACTGCATAACATGAGCCACTTAACTTAGGTACCAGTTTATCAATATGATTTGTCCAATTTAGGTGATTATCAATTTGCAAAGCCAAGAATTTTGTGTTTATTGACTTATACTTATATACTTCCCATTATAACCAATACTTAAAGCAAGCTGTGGTGAGTTATTTGTTATAAATTTTATTATATTCGTTTTATCTAGATTTAGGGCCAGCTTGATAGCAGTAAACCATTTACTCATATGAGACAGAACTATGTTTGATGTTG